CAGTAATGCCAACCAATCAGCACTCAGTAGCAGTAATGCCAACCAATCAGCACTCAGTAGCAGTAATGCCAACCAATCAGCACTCAGTAGCGGTAATGCCAACCAATCAGCATTCAGTAGCAGTAATGCCAACCAATCAGCACTCAGTAGCAGTAATGCTAACCGATCAGCACTCAGTAGCAGTATGGAATGTATTTTGAAGGAAATGTGTATGATTTACAAAACTGAACAGGATTTTCATTTTCATGGCCGTCTTTGTGGAGAGGTATGGACTGTTTTCATAGCAGGGGGTTGCCATCCCTCCCCTTTCACCCCTCTTTGCTCACTAGCAGCCCAACACAGAGTCACCACATTTCACACAGGGCCAACTGTGTCCTAGTTAACCTCACAACAAAATTATAGGGAAAAGCTATCACCAACTTTGATCATATCAATTGAAAATATTAAGTCATTATTATTTCCGCTGGCGAAAAGGGCCTGAACAAAGAGATCAATAATATTAATAACACACTTATATTAACAATAATAATAGTGAATTACAGCAGAAATGCCTTTAAACCCCCCCTGCACACTGCTGCACTACTGCAGCCTGGTATCAAATGATCCAATGCCCAGTACCAGCCCACAGTGTGATAGATGGGAAATGCAATAAGAAGCACTGATGCCTTTTTACACTCTCCGATCCGCCACGGCTCTGATGCTGTGGCCTGCTGCTGGGCACACAGTCGCTGGACAGCGGAGGCGAGAGCAGCCTGTGTGACCCTTGTTGATTTAACCCGGAGAGTAACACTGTGTCTGAGGGATAAAGTGTGTGACGGGTGCTGGGCACGCCGCTTGTCGGCCACGGTCAGCCTTAGCTCTCCCCAGAGCAGAGCGTTTAGCAGGGCTGAGGGGGAGGGGCAAAGAAACACAATACAAAAGGGCACAAGAATGGAAGGACGGCAGTGACAGAGGGGGGAGATGACAAAGAGGAATCCCTCCCGTTAGCTTAGCGCTTGGCAGGTTCAGAAATCACAGCAGATCCCGAACCGCTGACCGCCTGACCGTTCCCACACTTCATCACTCTCAGCAGAGCACAGGCCCACAGCCAAGAAGAGGCAACGCACACACAAAATGACCAATCTGTGAACAATCACACACTTAAAGAGCACAATCAGGGCTTCCGGTGTCTTTTCTCTGTGCTGGCATTGTTGTAAGAAAACTAGGGATGAGTATAAATAACCATAAAACTCTAAAAAACAAACCATCGATTCGTATTTTTTAAGCAAATTAGCTTCTCCCTACTCTCATACTTAGTAACCATGAGACGTCTGAACTCTGCGCTCCAGCAGAGGGCAGTGTAGAGCCTGCGCTTTACGTTTTGGTCAGTTTTCTTACCGAGCCAGTTTATGAGGAGCCTGGCCACTTCCTATTTCCCCCATTATATCAAAAAAATGACCGCAAAACAGCAGAGGGCGCCCACGAGCGAGTCCTCAGTGAATGGGAGTAAATGGAGCTAAACGGCTAAAAACGGAAAGTTACAGTAGTTTCACTAAGTTTCACTTGTACACTAAGGCTAGTTATATATCTTATTATCTCAAGATAACAGCAGTGCTATCTTGATATAACAAGTTACTTATCTTGTTATCTCAAGATAACAACATTATCTTGAAATAATGAGTTACTTATCATGTTATCACAAGACAACAAAATTGTTATCTTGAAATAATGAGTTACTTATCTTGTTATCTCAAGATAACTATCCGGAAAATTATAGCAACAGCTTATGGCCTCTCTGGACTTCCGTACGTTACATTTCAGAACAATTCCACCAATTTTTCAAAAAAGGATCCGGATAATTCAAAAGCTAATAAGTAAATAACGTCATTCGGAGTGGTTTGGAGTGGAATGGTGCATTTTAGAGAAACATACCGATTTCATTTCCATTTAAAGTGGTGGTGATGGGAACCAGGAGTCTACAACGTAACAGTGTCTACATTTTATTTACTATCCAAAAGGATGAGCGAACCTACATATGTCTTTTGAATTGTTATATGTTATGTTGATGATGGTAAAATCTGAAAAAAAAAGAAAAACGTTTACTTTGGGAACTTATTTGCCTTACAGTGTCCTTTAATACTTAAATATTAAAAGTTTTAGAGCAAAATCGAATCCTAACTATAATAAAACCACCTCTCAGACATCAGACAGTGTATTTGTAATCTTTTTTATGTGATAACTTTCTGCGAAGTAGCTTTTAGAGATATTAAACGGTTTAGACGTCTGGTTCCCATCACCACCACTGTGAACAATGCGGACTCTGTAGGTCACTCTAGAATGAGGAGTTTCACATCAAACCACTCAATTTTCAAAATTCCCCTTCAACCCTCTATTGCATGATTATTATTTAAACATGCTAAAAATGTCTTAATGTGTTTTTGTTATTTAAAATTGCTTCAATAATGGAAATATTAAAAAAGTGGGGTATTTTTTAAATTGTTGCCATATGGCAACTATATGCAATCTTACCATGGCACCATAAAATCTAAAAAAAAAGCTTTTATTGAAAACAAGAACAAACAAATCCAACTCATACTTAGTCAAATGTATGACCCAGTATTTACCATCCATCCATCCATCATCTAAACCGCTTATCCCTCTGGGCCGCGGTGGGGTGCTGGAGCCCATCCCAGCCGCCACTGGGCGGAAGGCAGGACACACCCTGGACAGGTCGCCAGTCCATCGCAGGGCCCAGTATTTACCAATATTGGAAATTAACACAATTTCAATTGTTATTTGGAATGTATAGTAATAACAACATAATAATAAGAATTCCTGGTCATGAGATGTCATGAAGTATTAGTCCTTTCAAAATAAAAGACCCTTTTTTCAAAATTAAATAGGAAAACACAAATTTTATATTACTGCTTTTTAGCAACATTGAGACAAAGTAATTGTTGCCATATGGCAACACCGTGCAGTAGAGGGTTAACAGAGTCAAGAATGTTTTCTTACAACAGCGACGATATCCACCCGGCGTGAAGCTTTACGTATGTAATGAAAAAGCCGCACTGCTGTGATTCAGCATGGGGTCTTTCAGGTATCAGACTGATGTTAGGATGGCTTAATGTTGGTTTAATCCTTCTGGGAGAATGTCAGGATCTGAGAGCGCAGAAAGTTCAGCTGTTCCCGTGTCTCCACTGACAGATACAGCAGATATGCAGCGTGAGGAAGAGCAGTGAATGTGACTGAAGCAGAAGGCTGGAGAATGTTTATGAGCCCTGCGCAAGAAAAACCGGACTCGTAAACCTCTGCAGAAAGGTAGCAAAGAAAGATGAAAGGATGGAAGTGGAAGAGAGATGAGCTCTGGGCTTCCTGGTGCAAACATAAAGCCTTGTACCACTTCAGTAGCCACATTTACATGCAGCCTAATAATCCATTAATAATCTGACTAATAGCTCAATCGGAATAGAATATGTCCATGTAAACACCTCAATTGGAATAGTCTGATTAAGGCCATTCGGAATACAGTTTCTATCCGACTGAACGAGGTGGGTAATCCAGCCCTCTATTCTGTCCATCAATGAAAAGGGACCACCATAGGGTGGACCCTTCTCAGCACAGTAGTGAAATGGTGTATTAGTGTATTAGGCATAGAGCTGGGACCACTTATCGATTTATTGATAATTAGATAACAACCAAATAAGGGATAAAAATAATTTATTACTGATTTCATTATTATTAAATCTTGAATGGACGAATGTTCTTCGCTCCGACCTGCTACAGCGGTCAGCTGCTCTGTGAAATACAGTTTCTGTGGAAATACAATCAGTTTTTTATACTTAATTATTGGGCCAGTGGTCAACTGTAAGAAAAAAAAGACACACGTCCCAAAGACCAGTGATCACAGGACAAAGGTCATACGACCAGACACTACAGTCTGGCCTTTTGACTGGCCAGGCGATTGTAACGATGACCCCCTGCAGCAGGTCTGAGACCAGTTTGGCTGAAATTCTCCCCATATTCTACGTGTGCTGTGAGGTCCAGTTATGACATTTGTGTGGTTTTATGTATCAAAACTAGTCATAATAAAGTTTTATGTGCCCATTTTGCAGCTTCTCTGTATCCCTTACAATTAAACACTTCAAGACAGTTATATGTAAATGAGCTCTGTTCTGATTGGCTCTCCTATATTGTGCCTCAATCAAAAAGCAGTCTGGGCTCCCAGGGAGATCCCCTTCATCAAACCGAGCCCTCAAGGTACTAAACTGTCACTGGATGGTTTCCACAAGGGAACGTCTTCCTAACCTTTATTAGGGAACACAAGTGCACCAAAACCCACTTAAGTTCTATATTTTTTAGGTTGTACTGAGTCCATAAACCCTCGCTTTTTACTTTATCGCTCTGTTTTAAAACATTAGGTAAGCAAAAAGTAAAAATATGTACATTTTTTCCTCTGAACAACTTATTTAAGGCAGACAGTTGGACCTTAAAACCACTGTGGGACCTTTAAGGGCATATTCACACTGTTTGTACACTCTCAGAAATAAAGGTACTAAACTGTCATTGGGGCAGTCCTTCTCCTATCACTGGGGTGGAACCCTCAAGGGTCCATCTCAGTACCTTTAGTCAGGGAACATAACTGAACCATAATCCACTGAAATGATATGTTCTAAGTTGTACTGACTCCACACACCCCGTCTCGTCTCCAGGCTTTTATTTTACTGTTCTGTTTTAAAACATTCGGTTATGAAAAGGTACAAATACGAACTTTTCACCTGGAAAAACTTATTTAAGGTTCACAATCAGACCTTAAAACCACTGTTGAACCTTTGAGGGAACATTTACATTGTTTGTACCTTGATGAATGAAAAATGTACCTGAACAGAGCCTTTATTTCTAAAAAACACACCTTTTTTATCTGATCCCTAATGAACTGGCAACCCAAAAGTTGCACAACTGTATATTGCATGAGAGGAAACCACTGATCTGGTTCAGAATCAAAAGGCAAGTGATCTCACCTCTTTCTTCTTCTTCTTTACTTTCGGCATCTTGCCTTCCTTCAGCTTGCCGGGCTTCTTCTTCTTCTGTTTGACTGAGTCATCGTCGGAGAAGAAGCGCTCCAAAGGTGAGAGCGGCATACTGTCACGCTCGTCCTCTTCATCCTCATCTGTGTGTGGACAAACATACACAAACAGGGTCACCCACAAAAATGGACAATTTCTCAAATAACCTAATCATAAAGTTGAGCCTGCCCAGTAGGGGTGGGGAGGGAATCGATTCGGACGTGGACGATTCTGAATCGATTCACAAATGTCAAAAATCTTCTTCTAGGCCACTTATTCCTCTGGGTCACGGGGGGAGCTGGAGCCCATCCCAGCAGTCACTGGGTGGAAGGCAGGATACACCCTGGACAGGTCAAATGTCCAAAATCAATTTTCAAAATTTTAATGGATAACATAATGTTGACGGAACGCAAAAGGTAGAAAGCGCAGAAGTGCAGCACCCGGACAGTCTGTGGCGGCACACTACATTAAAAGCTAGGTCAGGGGTCGCAACCCAAATGTAAATAAGAGTCATTTTGTCCTTTCAACAAAAATCAAACCACCTTGGGAGCCACAACATTTAATGTCCATTTTACCATCTTGGCTGTAAATATGTCTCAGTATGTGCTGATGTACTAATATAGGCTAAACATATAATATAAACAAAAACACAGACTTTCTTTGCTCTGCTTTAATCTTTAGCTCAGCTATAGCCGCTTTTCTCGTATCTCTAGCAGGAAACTTTTCCAAAAAAGTAGAACAGTTTCTTGTAAAATGTCTCTCAATGTTCTACTTTTTACGAGGCCGTCAGTTTCTCATCCTGCAGCTTCTTGTTCGAATTTTCCCGTTCCACCTTAAATGCTGCCTGATGTGCCAGAAGTGCGGCACCATTTAAGGTGGAATGGGAAAATTCAAACAAGAAGCTGGAGAACAAGAAACTGACTTCAGCCTCACATTTTTTTTTGTGTTTGTCAGTTTCTCATTACAGATTAAACATATTAGGAAACCAGCTGGAGTGATTATAAAATAAGTCAAATAAGTCCATTCGTTTTCAAATTATCGATGTTTGTCTTAAATCTTTCTCTTTGCCTTTTTATTAGCTACTAGCTGGGTGTACTAGCAGTTACATGCTACATTAACTCCAGCGTTTAAGACCATTTATTGTTAAACTGTGTTGAACGATCAGCAGAGCTTTATTTTACTGTAAAGGAGGATTATTTTACTTTTACCTACAAAACTAATTCTGATGTGGAACCGCAACAGGGCAGTAAAAGAGCCGCAGGTTGCCGACTCCCGAGCTCGTGTAATCGTAATCGAATCGAATCGTGAGGTGCCTAGAGATTCCCACCCCTACTGCCTAGTAAGAGAAGAGGTGAGGAAGCTCCCTATTGGCGTACTGAGAAATCCCACTTTGTGAGGTACCCCCTGCGCTCTTTTACACCTTTGTTCATTCCACCACCCGGCTTCCTTTGATCTTATGCCAAAGTCATCCTCGGCGAGTGTGTGGTGTGCTGGGTGACGCCTGAGGAGAGAGAGGATCTTCCCCTCGCACAGCTCGAAGAGCAGCACCACCGGCGCTGACACACTGAATGGCGCGATTGAGGGGAGAGAGGTGAGGTCGCTGTCACCCGCTGAACTGTGAATCGCACGTTGTAAACAAAATAATGTGCTGTCTGGCACCGCACGCGCTCAGAAGATCCGACGCCACCGAGCTGTCAGCGGTGGCAGTAGCTGAGAAGTGAACGGGGAGGCAGACTGTAGGGATGCACTGATACGGAATTTCTGACCAATAACGATAAACAACAAAGTTAAACTTTGTTTTTCTTTTGCTTCATTTCTTATAGTCCTGCTTGGCCAATGAATATCTAGGTTTGGTGCGCTTTATATTTGGTAATAAAGATGTCCTACAGATCCATGTTGCCTATACAGTGGAAGGCAAACATTTGGTAGAATTACATGTTTTGTTGAAGTGAAAATAACTTGACATTCACTTTAAGAAACAAACTTAAATTTGGCATAATTTCTATTTATTTGTTTAACAAAACCAACCTAAATTCATACATATGGTTGGTATAGTGCAGTGGGTAACACCTCTGCTCTCTATGCTGTAGACTGGGGTTCAATCCCCATCTGGGTAAGCACCCTACACTACACCAAAAAGAGTCCTTGGGCAAGACTCCTAACACTACCTTCACCCATCTGTGCAAAAAGATCAAATTGTAAGTCGCTCTGGATAAGAGCGTCTGCCAAATGCCATAAATGTAAATATGCCATAACTTCCGCGCAGACTAAACAGTGACTGGGCATTAAAATGTGCAGAAGTGTGTTCTCCATAGAGGATGTGTTCACTTCTTTTAACCAACAAAACATGTCATTTGACCAGGGGTGCGCAAACTTCTGCTTACATACAACTGTGTACATGATTAAAAGACAAGATCGACCCCGTTTGTGCTCCGAATATGTTCAGATCTACTTATCAAGTTACGAAATCCCAATCTATTCAACTAAGGTTGAACAAATGTTTATAAACAACCAATCAACTGCACATTATTAAACACATAAACACATGACCAAAATAACAAAAATGCTAAAAATGAAAACAAAAACCGCACAAAAGTACTGGAAGTTCAGTAACCTTAGAACTTACACAGTGCAGCTTTTATAGCTGAACTTGGGAAATATTAACGTTTCAGAAGTTCAACTATAAAAGCTGCACTATGGAAGACTGGGCGATTTGGAGGCCTCTCTGGTGGAAACGTGTAACTGCACGCAACAAGTGGAAGAACACTTCGTAACGTGGGCTGTGCTGCGGACCCCTTTCCCAGAGCAGATGGATCTGATGATTGCGAGTGTTGAAAGAGTATTCGAAAGGAACTCAGTCAAAATTTGGTGAAGGACTTCAGGAGGATGTGAGTGAATTATCTACTATTATAATCGTATCTTCATTAATATAATGTTGATTTTGCATTTGAGACCTGAACATCGAGCCGGACCTTCTTCCTGAGCCTGTGCACGTGACGTCAATACATAACGATGTATGACAAGGCATATTAAGTTATTATTTCGGGCTTTTAGGGTGACTCGCAGCAGCAAACATGCACCATATTTAAGTGTGTTTTTCTTCTCCTGACTCTTTCAACAAAACTCAAAACTCTCTCACTTAATTATTTGTTATTGTCATTTGAGCATAGATGGAGGATCTGAATGAAGGAGTACAATAAACATCTTCTTAACTTCTTACGATGTTTTCTGATCAATTTATATACCTCAGTTGTGGCTGCTAAGCAAGTTTAGGCCTAAAATTCCACACTCAGATTGCTCTGTACTGTGATTCCAGAACGTCTTGGGAAGCAAAGTGTAGCTTGTTTAGACATATTTTGCATTGCCATCTTGCAAAGTTCTACAGAGAAATGATCAAAACAATCTGGATGCAGGAGATAAAAAGCAACGGGCTGGTGTAAACATGCTGTCTTGATGTGTCTCATTGTGTTGGCATGATTTTTGCTTCACACTACATCATCTATTACTGCCTGCACTGCATGTTTATCTTGATTATTCCATTCCTACTGACTCTTTGATCGAGTTATCAGCAATACTTTCTGTGCAAAAGACCACCACTCAGTCAGCTATATATTCAATATAGTCAAAAAGTTCATTAAGTATAAGTTTATCATTAGCCACGTTTACATGAAGCCTAATAATCTGTTAATAATCTGACTAATAGCTCAATCGGAATAGAATTCGTACATGTAAACACCTCAGTCGGAATGGTCTAGTCCGATTGAGGCCATTCAGAATACAGTTTCTATCTGATTGATCGAGGTGGGTAATCCTGTAAATAATCCGTTAAATAGAAGAATAATATCTGTGTAAACGCCTGTATCTGATTACATTCCCTATCGGAAAGTTTAAGTCCGTTCTGATCATGTTCGTCACGTCATAGTGAAAGTTTATACCGTTCACCATGGCGGAGCAGAAACTGGTCTGCAGAGGAGACGAAGTTTATGCTCTGATCTTTAAAAGACGGCGGTGGGACGGACGTCCAGCTTATGTGTCTCAGAACACGACGTCTTCCTCTCGGCCTTCTTTAATAAGGACATGTGAAGGACGTTTCCTGAGTTTGACATCATTTTAAAGGGATTAAAAACACAAGCACTGCTCACTGCTGCTCATCTCACTGTGACTGGACTCGCGTGATGCTGGTCGTCATGGTAACATCTACACTAAGTGGTTCTCTACACATGAGCATCATTTTGGATCTGATTACTTGTAGTGAGCATGTAAACAGACTTGCCATCAGACTGTTGAGTAGAGTGAGAATAAACACCTCAGTCTTAATCTGTAATCAGAATGTGTTCAATCGGATTAAACACAGCCATTTTCAGGATATATTTCTGTGGAGGGGAGATACAAGATAATATAAGACCAGGAGTTTAAAAAAATTTGACTCCTCACATCTGTGCAAGACTCAGTAGACCACCAAAACCGTCCCCATCAGATAAACATGACTTTCACCTTTGAGAGACAGGAGAAAATCAAGCTCCACTCCAGCTTCAGATCTGAAAAACCAACAGGTGTTTCTGTCCAACCTTCCGCTGTGAGAAGACTCAACACTGTGGGTCCTAAAGGATGTGTCTGACCACTACAGAGTCCGATACTCAACATGACCAAACATGCTTGAAACTATTTGGATCATTAGAAGCAAGAAATGGAACCAACTTCTAAAACTTAACTTTGGAGGCTGGAAAAAATCCCTGCAGATTTCTTTAAAAGCGAGTCTCCTGAGAAGAATGGAAGCTGTAGTAAAGGTGCAGAGTGGACACATTAAGGCCCCGTCCCATTTCACCCCTCGCCCCTACCACTCAGCCCTTAGCCCTCCGTTTTGCATGTTCACGTCTAGGGGTGGGGTGTCCTGATTCATGTTGAGATAAAGGGGTAGGGTGAAGTGTTGGGGCTACATGACCCTCCAAATGTAGGTTTTTCAGAGACTCCAAACAGAGAGTTATGAGAAAAAAAGAAAAAACCAGCAAGATGGCTGAACAAGAGACCAAAGAAACCCACAAATGTGAGAATTTTCTCTGTTAAAAAATTACGATAACCATCAAATTATCTTAGTTTAATGTCG